GCAAAGATCCTATGTAATAAATAGTGTTGGGACAACTAGTTAGCCATTTAGAAAAAATAGATAAAATTAGATGTATTCTGCATACACTGTTCAAGAATAAGGTCCACAGTCAGAGGTCTAAATGTAAAAACCAAACCTAAATATTAGAAGAAAACGTGGATGAATTCCTCTTTTGAACTGTAGTGCAGAGAAAGCTTTTCTAGGATTCAAAATCTGGATACCTTACAAGGTTGATAAATTTACCTATATATGTATAAAATTTACATGACCAAAAATACCATACACCATCAAAACACAAATGACAAATTGGGAGAAGATATTTGCAGTTTTCACAGACAAAGGGTTAATATTCCTAATTCATAAATAACTTACAATAATTGAAGGAGGAGAAAATCCTATTAAAAAGAGCAAAAGGAGTATAGAGGATAATCACAGTGACATAAAAATGACCATAACATAAGAAAGGATGCTCGACCTCACTCATAAGAGAAAATTCAAGTAAAACCATTACTACCTGTCAGTAGGAAAAATTGAACAGCTTGTCTGTACACTCTTGCCGAGACCAGGGAAGCAGTCACTCTCACGTTGCTGGTAGGAATGCAAACGCAGTGAGACCATGATTAGAATCTGGTTAGAGGGATAGATAACAAATAAACCCTGAACTTTTTTTTTAAGATTTTATTTTTTAGTAATCTCTTTACCCAATGTGGGGGCTTGAACTCACAATCCCGAGATCAAGGTTCACATGCTATAGCAACGGAGCCAGCCAGCCAGGTGCACCCCCCCCCCAAAGATTTTATTTTTAAGTAATCTCTACATCTAACACGGGGCTCACATTCACAACTCTGAGATCAAAAGTCGCACATTCCATTGACTGAGCCAGCAGGGCTCCCCAATCCTGAAATTTTAAAATAGAATTACTTATTGTAGTGGCACAGGCAAAGCAATTCTGAAATGATTTTAGATAGATTACAGAGTTCAGCAAATGAGTAAATGTGTTGATGTTGGCATTTTTACTGTTAGAAAGGACGTACAAATCTAGGATATAGGAAGGCAAGAAAGAATGCTGTGGGGATAGATTAGAAATGGAAGTATTGATACGAATTTATGGTTCTCATGTATATGTGTGTATATGCATATCTGCATGCACATATATATTTGTATGTATTTGCATATACACGTGTATTTTTTTTTCTTTAGCTCTGTTCACTGGAAGAACTAAGAAGCAGTTAAGATGCCACGGTAGTAACAAGTACACCCATGACCTAGATCTTTGGTCTCTTAATAATCAATAATCATTCCCCACTGAAAGGAACCAGGGCTTTTCAGAGAAAGGGCGAATTTCAAGGGTGGGCATGATGGATACAAGATGAGCTGGGAACATCTTATAAACCAGAAAGTAAAGAAGTGCCCAGAAAAAATGATGAGGGCATGTCACAAAGACATAGGAACCAGCTTAAAGGGGCTTCCATCACCCAAATCTGGGACCATTAGAACATCAAAATAATTAAGTTCAATTACGAATTATAAACTATTGAAAAATAAATTTGTGAGTCCATACTGATAATAAAAAAATAAATGGAGAGAAGGAAGGTCTTGCCTCTGTGCTAGAGTTAGAAAATCACCATTTTGCAGCTATCATGATGAAGATTGGATCAGGCAAGAAACATCAGTGGGTGCTAAATCCAGGGAGTTTTTTTTTTTTTTTTTAGTTTTTATTTTAAGCTACTTTTAGACTTACAGAAAAGTTGTAAAAATAATACAGAGAATTTCTGGGTATCTTCCTCAGCATCTTACATAACCTTAGTCACAATTTTAAGAATTAAGAAATTAACATTGGTACAATACCATTAGCAAACCTGTTTCTCCCCTGATGTTGTTTCTCGCCCCCCAGAATCCTGCTCATCATACAACATGCACTTGTTATTTTTCCCTGACTTTCTGCAGTTTGCAACAGTTCCTCGGTCTGTCCTTGTTTCTCATGATCTTGATAACCCTGAAGAGTATTGATCGGTTATTTTGCTGAATGTTCCTCAATTGGTGCCTGTCTGATGTGTCCCGTGGTTAGCCTGAGGTCATTCATCCCTGATAAAAGGAGCCCAGAAATGGTGCTGTACCTTTTTCAGTGTATTGTATCCCTGGGCTCCTGATGTCTGTGTCATTCTGGTGATACTGACTTTGATAACCTGGTAATGGTGGTTGTTGCTGGGCTTTTCCATTATACTAGGGGAAAATTAGATGAGCAGGATAGGTGCATGGTCAAAGTGTCTGTCTACAAACTGCTCACTGGTTGCAACAGGAGGGAGGAAAGTAATTACAAAGTGGGAAAATTAAGCAACGCCCTTGACTGAATGACCAGAATTAATATTACCAGTGAGGGATAGATGGGCATCACATGCCTCCAGGTGTGATACTATGGGAAGGATGCTGTATCACCTGTGTTGAGACTGGGAATGCATAGACTCTGTAATCGTGAGAAAATATCAGGCATTGCAAAGTGAGGACTGTTCTATGAAAAAAAAGTTTGTTTTTGGACTGTGCCATTAATTTGGTGGTTCCAGCCTCCCAATTAAAAGAACAACTTTCATGTTTCCTGAAAAAACAAGGACATGTAATCTTAGTTGACTTTTGTGTTTTAAAATGCAGTAAAAAGCATAAAGTCAAAAAGGAAGATGAAAGATCTAAATGGAGGAAGGAGGAGAGCTGAGGGCAGAGGGAGTAGAGAACTGTATTTGAGTACCTGTTGTACATTGGGCTCTGTGCAAAGTCCTCTACTTGTCATCTAATTTATTCCTCCTAACAGTCCTTGGAGGTGGGGAGATGGACCCACATAACAGTGAAATAATTTGGCTGAGGTTATGAAATTAGTAAGTGTCATGACCGGGATTCATCTTTTGATTCTGGATCCAGTTTTTTTTTCTCCCATGCCATACTGCCTTCTAATGAAACATTGGTTTCAAGATGAGTTTGGGTTTCTTAGCCTTACCGCTTTTTGCGTTTTGGACTGTGTAACTCTTTGCTGACTGGTGCTGTCCTTTGTCTTGTAGGGTGTTTATCAGCATCCGCGGTCTTAATCCATTAGATGATTATAGCACACTTCCAGTTATGACAACTAAAAATGTCTCCAGGCATTGCCCGGTGTACTCTGGGTTTGGAGGGAGGGAGAAAATCAGACAAAAGGGTTGACAAATTCCCCTTTGAGCGTTATATTAAGGGATGAGCATTCTGTTGAGAGGTTTCAGGCAGAGCAGTCAGGTACTTCCTTATGTATTTAAGAAGGGAGAAATGGACTCGAGTCCAAAAGATCAGGCCCGTGTAGTTGTGGAAGAGAACAAATTCACTGTTAAATTAGTCTGCTTCTGTGACACTCCTTTCTATGGATATTGTTAGCCTCACTTTCTCAGTCTTTGTGGGCTGCTGCTTCTCTTCTTAATCCTTGAATGTTGGTGTTTTTCCTCTCTTTACATCTCTCCCTGAATGATCTCTTACATTTCCATTGAGTTCTTTCTTCACTGAGCTCCGTTTTGGCATGTCCAGTTGTCTACTTGGCATTTCCAGTTGGATATCTTAGTAGTAGTTCTGAATCCCACATCAGATTTGCTAAATCAGAAACTGTAGCCCAGTGATTTGTTTTAACAAACCCTCTGGGTGATTCAAATGCTCACTGAATCCTAGATTTTCAGCATGTCAACGGCTAGTGCCACATTTACACATTTAGTTGCTTTGGCCAGAAGCTTTGCTTTCTTTTCCTTTATCATCACACCCTTTTCACTTCTAAACTGAGGAAGTCTGTCTTAGTCCATTCAGGCTGCTATAACAAAATACAGCAGGCTTATAAATGAGGAATGTTTGTTTCTCCTAGTTCTGGAGGCTGGAAGTCTGAGATGAGAATGCCAGTAGAAGGCCGTCTTCTGGGTTGCAGACTTCACGTTGTATCCTCACATGGTGGAAGGGCTAGGGAACTCTGTGGGATCTCTTATAAGTGGACTAATCCCATTCACGAGAGTTCTACCTTCATCACCTAATTACCTCCCAAAGGTCCCATTCCAAATACTGTCACATCAGGCATGTGGATTTTATGGGGACATAAACATTCAGACCACAGCATATCCTTTTGATTGGACCTCTCAAATGTATCTTCGGTCTGTTTTTCTTCATCTCCTTTACTAGTTTGCCAGGCCTGCCATTTACAAAGTACTACAAATTGAGTAGCCTAAACAACAAAAATTTATTTTTACAGTTTTGGAGACTCTAAGTCCAAGATCAAGGTGCTAGTGATGTTGGTTTCTTTGAGGCTGTGAGAATCTCACCTAGCTTCTGTCAATTTGCTGATAATCTTTGTCGTTTTTTAGCTTGTATCTCTGCTTGATCTTTAGCTTGATCTCTGCTTCCATTTTCACGTGGCACACTCACTTTTTATGTGTCTCTGTGTCCAAGATTCCCCTTCTTAGGAGGATGTTTGTTGTATTAACGCCAGTCTTAATGCCTGCAACTCATTACATTTACAACAACCCTAGTTTCAAATAAGGTCACATTCTGAGGTCCTACGGTTTGGAACTCCAACATGAATTTGAGGAGGGACACTGTTCAACCGGTAACATCTTCCCTGCTGTTTGGTCTAGGCCACTATCATCTCTCACTTGAACTCTAGAACAGTCTTCTAACCTATCATTTCACTCATAAACCCCCCACCATTCTCTACATAAGGGGCAAGACTGATTAAAAAAAAAAAAAGGTACCGTGTCACTCTCTTTTCTCTTTAGTAACTTCTACTGTACTTAGACAATTGTAGAATGAATATATGAACAAATTTCAGTCTTGACAGCTGTGCATCATGTTAAGATCTACTCTGCTCTATCTTAATAAATGTTATTCGTGATACCCAAAGTCTCTGAAGGATATGAACTTGACAGATAAATGTGCTTCATATTGGGAATTTAGGTCACTGGGTAGAGAAATTGTTGCCAGAGGTTTGTAGCTTTTTCTCTCTTTGATTACAGTTGGCTAATCTCCTTCAGAATCAGGCAGTGAAAGGAAAAGCTGCTGGAGCGCTCCTGCGAGCTATCTTCAAAGGTAATAAAAACTAATGCTCTTCTATCTCCGAGTACATTGGTAGATTTGTTTACTTATGGCCCATATTGATGCTTTTCTTACTGTTTAAAGCACCACTGAGACTTTGGGAATTTTACAAAATCAACTAAAGCTGCAGTCTCTCAGGGCGCCTGGGTGGCTCAGTTGGTTAAGCGTCCGACTTTTGATCTTGGCTCAAGTCATGATCCCACAGTCAGTGGGATCAAGCCCCACGCTGGGCTCTGTGCTGACAGCAAGGAGCCTGCCTGGGATTCTCTCTCTGCCCCTGCCCCACTTGTGAAAATGGACATCCTTATATTGTTCCTGATCTCAGGGTGAAATCTTTCAATTTTTTTTTATCATTGAGTGTGAAGTTAGTTGTGGGTTTTCCATAGATACCCTTTATTAGGTTAAGGAAGTACCCATCTTTTCCTAGTTTGTTGAATGTTCTTCTCATGAAAGGGTATTGGATTTTTCAGATGCTTTTTTGTCTACTGAGATGATATATGTGATTTTTATTCTGTGCTGTTCTATTTATATGGTATATTACATTGATTATTATACATTGAGCCAATCTTGTATTCTTGGTAAATCCTGCCTGGTTATAGCTTATGATCCTTTTTATATGTTGCTGGATTCATTTTGCTGAATGTTGAGCATGTTTGTGTTGGTAGTCACAGGGATATTGATCTGTTTTTTTTTTTAATGTTTGTTTATTTTTAATGTTTATTTTAATGTTTGTTTATTTATTTATTTACTTATTTTGAGAGGCAGCACACGAGCTGGGGAAGGGGTAGAGAGAGAGGCACAGAATCTGAAGCAGGCTCCAGGCTTCGAGCCCTCAGCACAGAGCTGGATGCGGGGGCCTGAACCCACCAGCCGTGACATGACCTGAGCAGAAGTCTGAAGCCAACCAACAGAGCCATCCAGGCACCCCGATCTGTTTTTTTTTTTTTTTTAAACTTTTCTTAATGTTTATTTACTTTTGACAGAGAGACAGACAGTCAGACAGACAGACAGAGCATGAGAGGGGGAGGGGCAGAATCCGAAGCAGGCTCCAGGCTCTGAGCTGTCAGCACAGAGCCCATTGTGGGGCTCGAACTCACAAACCATGAGATCATGCCCTGAGCCGAAGTCGGTTGCTCAACCGAGTGAGCCACCCAGGTGCCCCTGATCTGTTTTTTAATGATGTCTTTGGTTTTGGAATCCTGGCTTTATAGAAAGAGTTGGGAAATGTTCCCTCGTCTTCTGCATTTTGGAAGAATTTCCAAAATATTGGAGTTAATTCTTTAAACATTTGGTGAATTCACCAGTGAAGCCATCCAGTTCTGGGCTTTTCTTTGTGGGAAGTGTTTTGGCTGCTAATTCAATCCCATTATAGGTCTGTTGAGATTTTCTATATTTCATTGAATTAATTTTGCTGGTTTGTGTCTGTCTAGCAATTTATCCATTTCATCTAAGTTCTCTAATTTTATAGTATTTCTTTATAATCCTTTTTGTTTCTGTAAGATCGGTAGTAACACTCCTCTTTCATTGCTGATTTAATAACTTGAACCTTCTCCTTTTTCCCTTGGTCACTCAAGATTTTTCCATTTTTTTTTTATCTTTTCAAAGAAAAAGATAATGGTTTCCTTGATTTTTCTGTATTCCTCTATGCCTTATTTCATTTAGGTCTGATTTTACTCTTATATTCTTTTCACTTGCTTTAGGTTTAGTTTGCTCTTTTTATAGTTTCTAATGGTGGAAGATTAGGTTATTGATTTATCTTTTTTGTTCTTTTTTTTTTTTTAAATTTAAAAAAAAATTTTTTTTTTTTCAACGTTTATTTATTTTTGGGACAGAGAGAGACAGAGCATGAACGGGGGAGGGGCAGAGAGAGAGGGAGACACAGAATCGGAAACAGGCTCCAGGCTCTGAGCTATCAGCCCAGAGCCCGACGCGGGGCTCGAACTCCCGGACCGCGAGATCGTGACCTGGCTGAAGTCGGACGCTTAACCGACTGCACCACCCAGGTGCCCCATGTTGTTGTTCTTTTTTTAATAAAGGCATTTACAAGTATAGATTTTCCTCTAAGCACTGCTTTAGCTGCTTTCCATAACTTTTGCAATGCTGTGTTTTTGCTTTCTTTCATCTCAAGGTACTTTCTAACTTCTTGTGTTTCTTCATTTGACACATTGGTATTTATGACTGTGTTAATTTTCATATATGTGTGAATTGCTTAGATTTCCTTCTGTTAATTGATTTCTAGTTTCATTCCACTGTCATCACAGATCATAAATGGTATGATTACAGTCCTTTTTAAATTACTCAGAATTTTTTTTATGGCCTGATATGTTGTTTATCCTGGAGAATGTTCTATGTGCACTTGAGAAAATTGTGTCTTTTGTTGTTGGACGTAGCGTTCTATAGATGTCAGATTTAGTGTGTTTATGTCTATTTCCTTGATTATCTTCTAATTGTTCTATCCATTGAAAGTAGGGTATTGAAGTTTTCATTTGTTGAATTGTCCATTTCTCCCTTCAGTTGTTTTGGTTTTTCCATTGTATATTTTGGAGTTCTTTTGTTAGATGCTTATATATTTATAATTGTACGTATCTTGATGATGGATTGACCCTTTCATCATTATAAAATGTCCTTTGTCTCCAGTAATAGTCTTTCCCTTAAAATGTGTTTTTTTTTAAGTTTATTTATTTTGAGAGAGTGTGCAAGTGGGGGAGGGGCAGAGAGAGAAAGGGAGAGAGAGAATCAGTCCATCAGTGAATCTGTCAGCAGAGCTGGACCGGGGCTCAATCTCACAAATCGTGAGATCATGACCTGACCCAAAATCAAGAGTTGGACAACTCATTAACCAACTGAGCCACCCAGGTGCCCCTTAAAGTCTTTTTTTCTTTAAGTTTTTTTTTTTTTATTTTGAGAGACAGAGTGAGTGTGCTTATGCGTGGGAGAGGCAGAGAGAGAGAGGGAAAGAGCGTGAGTCCCAAGCAGGTTCTGTGCCATCAGCACAGTGCTAGATGTAGGGCTTAATCCCCGAGGTTCTTGAGATCACGACCTGAGCCAAAATCAAGAGTTGGACACTTAACCGACTGAGCCACCTAGGCGCCCCAAGTGTTTTTTTACTAATATTTGTATGGCCAATCTAAGTTTCTGGTTACTATTTGCATAGTGTATATATTTTTTGAGATATTTTTGAGGTATTTATTTTGAGAGTGAGAGAGTATGAGTGGGGGAGGGGCAGAGAGAGAGGGAAAGAGAATCAGTCCGTCAGAGAATCTGTCAGTGCAGAGCCGGACACAGGGCTTGATCTCACAAACTGTGACATCATGACTGGAGCCGAAATCAAGATCAGATGATTCTTCAACCAAGTGAGCCAGCCAGGTGCCCCTTAAAAGTCTTTTTTTCCTAATATTTGTATAGCCAATCCAACTTTTTGGTTACTATTTGCATGGTATATCTTTTTCCATCCATTCTTTAACTTTCAAATTATGTGTCTTTTGAGTCTAAATTGTGTTTCTGGTTGACAGTATATAAATGAATTTTTAAAAATTTATTCTGCCAGGGGCTCCTGAGTGGCTCAGTCGGTTGAGCTTTTGACTTCAGCTCAGGTCATGATCTCATAGTTTATACGTTCGAGTCCCGCGTTGGACTGTGTGCTAACAACTCAGAGCCTGGAGTCTGCTTTGGATTCTGTGTCTCCCTCTCTCTCAGACCCTCCCCGAGTCATTCTCTCTCTCTTCTTTTTCATCTCATCTCTGTCTCAAAATAAATAAATAAAAAATTAAAAAAAAATTTATTCTGCCAATCTTTGTCTTTTGATTAGAATGTCTGATCCCTTTTCTGTAGTTACTGATAAGGTAGGGTTTACATCTGCTATTTTGCTATTTGTTTTCTTTGTTTTAGGTCTTTTTTTAACTTTATGTGTCTTGTGTTAAATAGATAATTTCTAGTGTAGCATTTTAATTCCTTTGTCATCTTTTTTATTATGTTTTTGAGTTACATTCTTAGTGGTTGCCCTGAAGATTATAACTAATGTCTTAATTTATAACAGTCTGGTTCAGATTAATACTAGCTTAGTTTTAATAGTTTACAGCACTTTGCTCTCTATATAGCTTCTTTTTTCTCCCTCCTGTGTGTGATAACTGTGATACAAACTCATCTTTACATATTTCTGCCCATCAACAAAAATTTTAAGTTTGTTTAATTTTTTTTTTTTTTTTTTTTTTACATTTATTCAATTTTGAGAGGCAGGGAGGGACAGAGAGAGGGAGACACAGAATCTGAAGCAGGCTCCACGCTCTGAGCTGTCACAGAGCCTGCCTGACGCAGAGCTCGAACCCATGAAGAGTGATGAGATCATGACCTGAGCCAAAGTCAGATGCTTAACTGACCAAGCCACCCAAAACCCCTGTTTGTTTTTAGAGAGAGCACGCATGAGCAGGGGGGAGAGACGGAGAGAGAGAGAGAGGGAAACTCAGACTCCACGCTCAGCAAGCAGCCTGATATGGGGCTTGATCCTGGGATCATGACCTGAGCCAAAATCAAGATTCAGACATTCAACCGACTGAGCCACCCTGGCACCCCAATCAACACTGATTTCTATTTATTGCTTTCTACAAGTCTTATAAATCAGGAGAAAAAGTAATTACTACTACTTTTGTATTTTCTTATGTAGTTACGTTTACTGGTGCTATCTCATGTGGATTTAAGTCACTGTCTAGTGTCCTTCATCTCAACCTAAAGGATTCCCTTTAGCATTGAGCAAGTCTTCTGGCAGCAAGTTCTCTTTTTTTTTTAATCTGGGAATTCTTAATTTCTCCTTCATTTTTGAAGGGTGGTTTTTCTGGTTGTAGAAATGTCGGACAGCCCTTTCAGCAGTTTGTGTTATCCCATTTCCTTTTTTTTTTTTTTAATTTTTTTTTTTAATGTGTATCTTTTTGAAAGAGAGTGACAGAGCTTGAATAGGGGAGGGCAGACAGAGAAGGAGAGACAGAATCGGGTGCAGGCTCCAGGCTCTGAGCTGTCAGCACAGAGCCCGACGTGGGGCTGGAATTTACAAAGCATGAGATCATGACCTGAGCCAAAGTGGGATGCTTAACCTACTGAGCTGCCCAGGTGCCCTTATCCTTTTTCCTTCTGCCTTTCAGTGTTGCAGGGGAGGGGGCGGGGGGGTTGGAGGGTTGGTTTTTTTGATGAGAAACCAGGTGTTAATTATATTGAATACTCTTCCAGATGACTTGCTTCTCTTTTGTTGCTTTTTCAAGATTCTCTCTTTGTCTTTGCTGTTTTTTTTTTTAAGTGTACCGTTTCTGTGTCCCTAAGTACATTAACTATTCTGGAATTCTAATACTGTGTTGAATAGAGGTGGCAAAAGTGGACATTCTTGTATTTTTAATGTTTTATGGAAATTCTTTCAATCTTTAGTAGTTGGATATGATTGTTATGGGTTTTCCACAGATGGCCTTTGTTATGAGGAAGAGTCTTTGATTTCAGCTGTTTGTTATGGGATGTCTACCTGTGGTTCTCTTGGGTTTATCCTACTGGAATTTATTGAGCTGCTTAAATGTGTAAATTAGTCTTTGTTAAAATTGGGAAGTTTTAGGCTATTATTTCTTCTCTTCAGCCCTTTCTGTCTTTCTCTTGGGACTTTGATTATGTCTTGTGTTAGCACTCATGATATCCCACAGGTCTCTGAGGCTGTGTTCATTTTTCTTCTTTTTCTTTCTGTCCTTCAGACTGGATAATCTCAGTTGCCCAATTAAAAAAAATTTTTTTTAACGTTTATTCATATTTTGAGAGACAGAGTGTGAGTGGGAGGGGCAGAGAGAGAGGGAGACAGAATCCGAAGAAGGCTCCAGGTTCTGAACTCACAGCACAGAGCCCAATGCGGGGCTTGAACTCACAGACTGTGAGATCATGACTTGAGCTGAAGTCAGACACTCAACTGACTGAGCTACCCAGGTGCCCCCTCAGTTGTCCTATTTTTAAGTTCTCTGATTCTTCCTGGTCAGATCTGCTGAGACCTTATTGTGGATTTTTCAGGTCAGTTATTGTACTTTTCAATTTCAGAATTTTTATTTACTTATTTACAGTTTCTGTCTCTTTTTTGATACTCAGTATTTGGCAAGACATTGTTCTTAATATTTTCCTTTAGTTCTTTAGGTATGGTTTCCTTTTCTTTGAACATATTGGAAACAGCTGATTTAAAATCCTTTTCTGGGGACACCTGGGTGGCTCAGTCAGTTAAGTGTCTGACTCTTGATTTCAGCTTGGGTCGTGATCTCACAGTTTGTGAGTTTGAGCCTCATGTTGGGATCTGTGCTGATGGTGTGGAGCCTACTTGGAATTCTCTCTCTCTACCCTTCTCTTTCTGCCCTTCCCTTTCTTGCTCTCTCTCAAAAAAAACTTTAAAGACATTTTTTTAAAAACTTAAAACTTTTTTTTAAGTCCAAGAGTGCTCAAGCAGGGGAGAGAGGCAGGGGGGAGAGCAGAGAGAGAGGGAGGGAGAGAGAATCCTAAGCAGACTCCACGCTCAGTGAGGAGCCTGACGTAGGGCTCGTTCCCATGACCCTGGATTCATGACCTGAGCCAAAATCAAGAGACATTCAACTGACTGAGCCACCCAGGTGCCTGTCCTGCTGATTTAAAATCTTTGTCTAGTAATCTAACATCTAGGCTCTCTCAGGGACAGTTTTTAATTGATTCTCTTTTTTCCTGGATATGGGCCATACTCTTGGGACATTTTAAGTGATATTTTGTGGGAACTCTGGAAATGAGATACCAGTCTCCTCTTCCAGATATGTTTTTGCTGTTCTGATATTCCTTTTGTCTTTATGGTGGCTCCTCTGAACTAATATAAAATATTAATTGTTGTGTATGGGCACTGTTGGGTATGGCCAACTGAAGTCTGTTTGGTTAGCTTTGCAGTTAGCTAATGATTGATTGGGCAAAGATTTCCTTAAATGCCTGGAACCATTGAGTTTCCCAGCCTTTGCTGAGGAGCCCTGTGATGTTGGAGGTACACCTTCAGAGCTCAAGTGTTTTATAACTCCTGTTTAGTCTTTCTACTTGTGCAGAGCCTCACAGTCAGCCAGAGGGGAGAGTTTAAGGTCTTTTTGGGTCTTGCTTTGCCATGTACACTCCCTGTGCATGTGCATAGCCCTGAGTGTATTTGCATGGCTTACTAGATTCCTTGGGATACATCAGAATGTTTCAAAGCCCCCTATGCGCATATTCTCCAGGATTTCCTTTTAAGTTTTTTGGTCAGCTTCTTGCATGCCTAACTATTATTGCTGCCTCAAAGCATCTAAAATAGTAATCAGTTGCAACTGATTTAGACAGATGTCCTGGGTAAAAATGGCCTTTTGCACTGAACGAATTCAAAGGTCAAATAAAGACAAACCTTGGGGTAGCTGGCTGGCTCAGTCAGTAGGGCATGTGACTTGATCTTGGGGTCATGAGTTCAAGCCCCATGTCGCGGGTAGAGTTTACTTTCAAAAAAAAAAAAAAAGACAAAGCTTGGTAATGAAAATTTTTAGGGAACAGCCAGACTGGTCAAATGACAGTTCTTATCTGGGAATTGGGCTTTGGAGGTGTTTCAACCATATTCTGTCCCCCCCCAGGGGCTGCTAGGCTGTTGGCTTTTACCAGGACTGTGGGGCTATTGGTTTTAAAGACTACCTGAGCTTGCGGGGGTGGGGGGGGGTGGTGCTATGGGAGTTGAGGGCATGTTAAAATACCACAAAACTTGTTCTTACTGAGATTCAGCTGTTTTTCTTAAGTAAACACTCCCTGGATTTTTGCAAGCCTTTGATTAATTTTCAGAGTTGTGAACAAGTTGATTTTCATTATTTTTATCAGTGTTTTTACTGCTTTTATGGAGGAAAGGATTTCTGAGGTCTTTATTTTTCTGCCATTCCCACTGACATTATTCAGTGATTTTTAAAAAAATTTTTTTAATGTTTGTTTATTTTTGACAGAAAGACCGAGCATGAACGGGGGAGGGGCATAGAGAGAGGGAGACACAGAATCCAAAGCAGGCTCCAGGCTCTGAGCTGTCAGCACAGAGCCCAACGTGGGGGTCGAACCCACAGACCTCGAGATCGTGACCTGAGCTGAAGTCAGATGCTCAACTGCCTCAGCCACCCAGGCGCCCCTCAGTGATGATGTTTTAAAGTGGAATATGTTAAAGACATTTAATTTGGGTTACTGGGCCCAAAAAAGGCTCTAAGATATTTTAGAAGGTATTTCTCTTTCTGCACTATGAACTTATTTTAAAAATCAGTGACATAGGTGGAAGAAGAAAAGATGACATTTCAGTCATCCACCTAAATTAAATACTTTTGTAAAGCTCTTAAATATTGCTGCTCTAAACACAATGGTAATCAGTAAATTGATAATTCTGCTTCTTTATTAAACTATAGTGCTGTTTTTCCTGTTTGCCCTTCAACTTTCTTCTTTCTTTGTTTCTGTGCTATTCATTTAAAACAATAAGGTTCCCCCTGCTCTGAGGAAGCTGGAGCTCTTAGGAGGCTTAAGATATACATTCGCTCAATCCAGTTGGTGGAGTCAGGGGATTTGCAGAAAGAAGTAGCATCTGAGATTTTAGGATTACTAATGGTGGAGGTAAGAGGGTAAATTTGGAGGGGGGGGGGTTGTAATTTGTTGAGGGAAGGGAAACTTTAATGTGCCAAACCTAGCATAGTTCCTACTTACGAATAAGAACTACTATTAAAAAACAGAAGTTGATGGATGGTCCATAAACCCATGTTTATGTTAATTTCTGATATGGTGGGCATCTGATATCTTTGAAGAGTTGGTGTATTTGAAAACATTGGAGAACTGATGGAGGATTCTGACCTTTGAAATCTTTTATGATCAAAAGTTTTGTACCAGAGCAGAATGATTTCCTGGATCCCTTATAGGACCAGTTCTGGGTTTCAGTGCCAGTTCTATTCAGCAAAAGACTTTATTTCTTGGAGAGACCAAACATTTAGATTTCTGCTTAACATTTTCTTTGTCTCATGAATTTTTAGGTTCACAATTTTCCAGGACCATTACTGGTTGAATTAGCCAGTGAGTTTGTTAGTGTTATCAAGGAGGGCAGGCTAAAGAATGGAAAATCTTTGGAGTTATTACCCATTATTCTCACTACCCTTGCTGCCAAAAAGGAAAATGTGGCTTATGGAAAAGGTAATTTTTTTTCCCAATTTTAGTGGCCTTTTCTGTAGTCACTTAATCAAATTTATCTCAGTATATTTTTCATTTCTAGGTGAACTAAGTGGGGAAGAATGTAAGAAGCAACTGATTAACACCCTGTGTTCTGGCAGGTGAGTCTTTCTCATTAACGTGTAGCACTTTCTCAGACATGCATGTGGCCAAAAAAAGGATTACTGTTGATGTCAGGAATTTTTATCACTAAGTTTTTGGTCTGTGTTTTTGCTTATAATGTAAATTGCTTATAATGTAAAACCATTTAGTTTGCAATGAATTTTTGAGAGATTAGTTACTATATTTTCTGTTCTAAACTACATATAGTTTATTTGACTCTTCATCTTAACAGAGCAGTGTTGTCTTCTAGCATTACTTGGAGTCCCAAGGTCCTTAAGGCTGAGAGGTCACCCTTCTGCTATATCTTTTATGTTTTTTTGAGTGAGTGGGATACATAATGATGTTGTACCTTTAAGCCAGAAATAGGGGAATCCACCCTAAGGAAAGACTCCAACATAATAAGAAAATTCTCATACGTAGACATGTTCACCACAGAAATTTGTGACCAACTTAAACATAGTATAATAGAAAAATTTAAGTTATGGTAAGTAACCTGTGTAAGCTAAGGTAGAGAAACTCCATGAAATTTAGACCCATTTGAAGTAAAATATATAAAACCATCAATCAAAAAATCCTTACCATATAGAGAATACAAAGTTATGTAATACAATGATTATGTTTGGGTACATTGAAAAGAACCAGAAGCGAACACCCAAGATTATCTAAATCAAAAATAACAGCTTTTATGGTTCCTTACATAAGATCCCTAAAATATACATGATTTTAAGTATGTATCAGCACATGTGTGCCTATATGTTTATTTGATTTTAATTACACTGGAGTTTATTCAATATACATCACAATATACCTTGCATTTTTTCATTTACTGCATCTGTTCATGTCAGAATATATGACTCTACGTCATCCCTTTTAATAGTTCCATACTATTCTGTTGTATTTGGCTAGTCTCCAATTGTTAAGAATATTTTTTTCTAATAAATAATATATGGTTATTTGGTTTTTTGCTATTATAAAAAGTGTTTGCAATGAACATCCTTATATATCTAGGTGACCTTTTGTAAGCATGTACTTGGGATAGATTTCTAATACTAATTTGGGTGGGTCTGTGCTTATGTGCATTTTTAAACTTGATAAGTATTGCCAGCTTATCTTCCCAGAAGGGTTCTATCAGTGTACACTCTCTAAAATCATACGTGGAGACCATTTGTTTCCCCAAATCTTCCCAGCATTGAATGTCATCAGACTTCGATTTTGCTAATCTCATAGGTTAAAAGCTGTTATTTCATTGATTCTTTGATCTCATTTCCCAGTGGTACCAAATCAAACTAGAAATGGCCTTAATTTTTCCCTCATTAATTTTACAAAGGAATATGCAAATAAGTGAAGATGAGATAAACTTTCATATTCTTTGTCATTTTCTTTAACCAGATGGGATCAGCAGTATGTAATCCAGCTCACTTCTATGTTCAAGTAAGCATCTTTATTTCCTTTTTATGCCTGCCCTGCTGTGTGAACTTGGCCTGCTAGAAATTGAAATTTAGCAAGTTCAAGCACCACTTTCCCCTGAATAAGAGTAATGGTAACTTTGTTTTCTGTTACAGGATTTTTCCCCTCTAATTTTTCCCCTTTAATTGCTTATTTAAAATATTTTTGGGGGCACATGGGTAGCTCAGTCAGTTGAGCATCCGACTCTTGATTTGGGCTCGGGTCATTGACGATCCCAGGGTTGTGGGATTGAGCCCCACATCAGGCACTGCAGTGAGTGTGGAGCCTACTTAAGATTCTCTCTCTCCCTCTGCCCTTCTCCCCAGCTCTCACTCTGTCTCTCTCAAAAAACAAAAACTGTGATTTTCTTCTCTTAATATTTTATTTATTTTGAGAGAGAGTGTGCGAGCAGGCAGGGGAGGGGCAGCGAGAGAGAGAGAAAAAAAGAGAATCCCAAGCAGGATCCATCCATGCTGTCAGTGCAGAGCCCGACGTGGGACTTGAACTCACAAACCATGAAATCATGACCTGAGCCAAAAATCAAGAAATCAGACACTCAACCGGCTGAGTCACCCAGGCGACCCTGATTTTTTTTTTCTGAGATAACTTCCCTTATGTAAGGTTTTTGGTTCCCTTTAAGGTTCTCTGTTACAGAAAAACCAAAGGGCAGTTACAATATTCTAATTCTAATATGATATTCTAATCTCCCAAATAAGGCCATAGCTTTGGCCTTCAGAGTCTTTGATCCACAGGGATGTCCCTTTGGCTGCAGAAGAGGTGGAATTTGTGACAGAGAAAGTGTTGAGGATGTTCTCCAAGTTGAATCTTCAAGAAATACCACCCTTGGTCTATCACCTTCTGGTTTTCTCCTCAAAGGTACACATAAAAAAGTATTTTTTTTCTTTTTAAACTCTAGTGGGATGGTCAGTTAAGAGCATTCAGTTTACTCCTACTCCTGGTTTACATACTAGGGCATAGATGCTTTCATTTCATATGATGATATGATTAGTAAAAGGGTCAGGCTCTTCAGCCAAGGAAAACACCTGTTATTCTTGTACTACCACATTTGGTATGTGTGTGTAGTAGTAAAGGGGGTAAAAATCTCATGAAGGGTGGACTAGTGGTCCCTTAACTGAAGTCTAATACCATCATCTAATAACATCTGTTTCAAACCGGATTTTTTATTTTTTATTTTTTAATGTTTATTTTTGAGAGACAGACAGAGTGGGGGAGGGGCAGAGAGAGAGGGAGACACAGAATCCAAAACAGGCTCCCGGCTCTGAGCTGTCAGCACAGAGCCTGATGGCGGGGCTCAAACTCACAGGCTGTGAGATCATGAATGGAAATGAAGTCAGATGCTTAACTGACTGAGCCACCCAGGCGCCCCTCAAACCCAAGTTCAACATGAAAAAATGTTCTGTAAATGCTAACTGTGACTTGAGGTTGTCATTTCTCTGTTTAAATTCATACTCAAGAATACTCTAAGCTGAAAAAGTATTTTAAGTTCAGCTTGGTGATCTTGGCCTTTATAGGGAGACCTTACCTAATTTTGTACCTTTTTTTTTTTCCAGGGAAACAGAAAGAAGGCTTTGGAAGGAATCATAACTTTCTTCAATGAGCTAGATAAGCAGCACAATGAGGAACAGAGTGGTGATGAGTGAGTAATACAGTATTGAAATAAAATCATTTTTGCAAGGCATCTTCTTATGTGTTTTACTTCATTGTTACTTAACCTCTCAGTCCCTGCCTTCACCTCAGCAGAGAACTTCCCTGGCCCTCTTTTAGCTGCTGAGCAGCTCTTCTACTCTTTCATTTGTAGCTTTTCCAGGAGAATAGTGGTAATTATTCTGTAAGTTGTAAGTTTATAAACTGTTTATCAAGTGCTCTGTACCGGGAGCTGTACGGCCCTGGGACTACAGTGATGAACTAGTCAGACAAGGTCCCTGCTCCTCAAGGAGTTTAAATACTGTGAGAAGAGAACAGAAAATAAATAAGAAAAATATTAGAAGATGCTATGCAGATAATTTAAATAGATGGTCTGATAGTGACAGGGTAGCTATTTTAGGTTCAGTGGTCAAGGAAAACCTCTTGGAGAGGGTGTTATTTTAACCGAATCTTGGATGGGAAGAGCCACGATATGTAGATCAGGGAAAAGAACATTTTTAGTGGGATAGTGACTAGTGAGTACAAATGCAAGATGCAGCATGGCATTTTGAAAAAGAGGGTTTTGTTTTTTTTGTTTTTTTTTAAAGCAAACATTTGTAGAGTGCTTACCCTGTGTCAGGTGTTCTAAGCACTTTAAACCTCACAACAACCCTATTTGCCTCAGCTTTATGCATGTGTAAACTGAGGCACGGGGAAATGAAGGACTATCCCAACATAGCTATAAAATGGAGCTGGAATTTCAGTCCAGGCAGTTTGGCCACAGAGCTCATGCTGTTAATCCTGTTGCGGCCTACTGCTTCTACTACTCTAGGGTAACTTTTGTTATTTGGCTTGCACAATTGATAAGAAGATGGTCTTTTCTTTCTTGTCTCTTTTTTTTTTTTTTTTTTTTTTTTTTTTTTTTTTTTTTTTTTAATTTTTTTTTTTTTCCAACGTTTATTTATTTTTGGGACAGAGAGAGACAGAGCATGAACGGGGGAGGGGCACAGAGAGAGGGAGACACAGAATCGGAAACAGGCTCCAGGCTCTGAGCCATCAGCCCAGAGCCTGACGCGGGGCTCGAACTCCCGGACCGCGAGATCGTGACCTGGCTGAAGTCGGACGCTTAACCGACTGCGCCACCCAGGCGCCCCTTGTCTCTCTTTTTTTAATTTTAGGTAGGCTCAATGCCCACTGTGGGGCTAGAACTCATGACCCCGAGATCAAGAGCTGTGTGTTCTGACTGAACCAGCCAGGTGTCTCTAAAGATGGTCTTATACACTGAGTTAGGAAAGACTGACAGAAAAGCAGGTGTTGCACAAAATAAGCTCAGTTTTAACCATGTGAAGTTTGAGAGCTTGTTTGGAGGTTCTAGCAGGGGAGCGCAGCTACTCGTATACCCTTGACTGAAGAACAGTTCTCCTCTATCGGGGAAGCTCATCCTCTTTGACAGAGCACACAGCTTCGGGAGGGATGCACATAGAGCGGTGAGGGAGGAAAGGGACACCCGCCTAGCCAGCCAGATCAGCCGAATCAACCCTGGCGATCAGTGGGGTGACAGATGTTGCAGACAGATCGCCCGCACGTCCTAACCATGTTAAGTTTGAGATGTATATTAGCATCCCATATGGAGGTATTGAGTAGACAGTCTGGAGTAGGGAGAGGTCAGGACTGGAGATAAGAGACTGGGAAAGAACTAAAACCATGGGACTGGATGGGGTTCCTTAGGGAAATTATGAAGAAAGAGAAACACAAGACTGAGCTCAGAGGCATTCCACCACTTAAAGGGAGGTGAGCCAGCCAAAAAAAAAAAAAAAAATTGGGGGGAAGAGTTCAGTGACAATGACCCAGAGGAGAAGAGTTTTTCAAGAAAGAAGTGGTCATTTGTATCATATCTGCTGAGCTGTTAATTAAGATGGGACTTGATTATTGGTTTTGGCAGCATAGAGGTCATTTGTAAGCCTTGCAAGAATAGTCAAATGCGGGGGGCACCTGGGTGGCTTAGTCAGTTGAACATCCGACTTTGGCTCAGGTCATGATCTCAGGGTTTGTGGGTTCAAGCCCCACGTCAGGCTCTGTGCTTGACAGTTCAGAACCTGGAACCTGCTTTGGATTCTGTGTCTCCCTCTGTCTCTGCCCCTCTCCTGCTTATGCTCCCTCTCTCTCTCAAAAGTAAGAAACATTAAAAAAATTAAAAAAAAAAAAAAAAAAGAATAGTCAAATGGCATTGAGGGGAGTGGGTAGGGAGGGGACAGAAGCCTAATTGAATTAGATTTAACTGGGAAATGGTAAAGAAGTGGAATTAATGACAGTAGACAGTTCTTTCAGGAAGTTGTGTTACAAAGGGGCAAGGAACGAGGCAGTAGAATTTATACTTAACTCCCTGCCTCCAGTGATGGTACAGGTTCGGCTTGAGTTGGGTCTACTTGTTCATCTGAGGATGTGCATGATTGTCTCTTGTTCAAACCGTAGCTCATACCTTTCTGTTGAATCTTTTAGGCTGTTGGATCTTGTTACTGTGCCAGCAGGTGAACTTCGTCATGTGGAAGGCACCGTTATTCTACATATTGTGTTTGCCATCAAATTGGACTGTGAACTAGGCAGAGAACTCCTGAAACACTTCAAGGTAGCCCTAAACTCTTCAGGTGATCCAGGGATCTCTTTATGAAACAGGGTGTTTGAATTCAAGCCACTTAATTCAAGCTAGTTAATGACAGGGAAAAAGTGGAAGCATTGTAGAATGACCCTTAATCTAGAGGATGCCTTTTACTTTGAAAGTAGAAAATATATGACGTCATCCCATTCTTAAGCAAGTTCTATTTTAAATCCAAACCTTCAATATTCTAATGTTTGAAAAAGAAAAAAAAGCAATGCCTGGGTGGGTCAGTCAGTTAAGCATCTGACTTCACCTCAGATTATGACCTCACTGTTTGGGAGTTTGAGCCCCACATTGGGCGAGCTCAAGCCCTGCTTCTCTCTCTCTCTCTCTCTCTCTCTCTC